AGGACTGGCAGTCGCTAAATCAGCCGAAGGGGAGGGGTTTGAGTCTAAGCAATGTGCCTCTGGTGGCTGGAGGTTGTGTCTCCTGGGAGGGAGAAGCTGGAAGCTGGAGTCTTGTCTCTAGCAGCTGGGTACATGGATTTGTGTTGTTATCAAGCCCCGCGAGGAGACTGGGTGCCCAAGGCCACTCGTTTGGGGAACAGTCGGTCCCGGGCTGCCCTTCTCCCGCGCCAGCCCTGCTCTTACCTCAGCGCCGCGCAGTCTCTCGTGAACACTCATCATCTTCATGGGATTGAGGTTGGGGATCGGGGATGCTGGGGTTGCACTGTCTACTAGGGACCCCAGGGTGGGGCAGCGTCTCCCTGAGTCCAGACTCTGGGGAGCAGACACGCCTCAGTCTTCCCTGTCCGAGGGGTGTGAGGAGGGAACTCGAGGAGCAAGCTGGCTTCGAGAACGGCTGCGTCTGGAAAAGCTGCCCAGATCTGGCAGCGCCACTAGTCTCTGCCCGCAGGTGCCCCCCCCCCCAGCAGCCCAGGCAGGATGGAAGCAACACTGTGCCTCTCCCGGGCTGGGAAGAGCAGCATGGGGTGCAGACAGCTACTGTCCCTGAAGGTCACAGCTGGACTTGGAGTCAGGGAACAAAGGGGTCAAGTCCTGGCTCTGCCACTTGCCAGTGGAAGTGGGCAGAATGGACACTGACCTCACGGGCATGAAATGGACAATAACAGCACCTACAGCACCGCTGAGGTCATGGATGGAGCCCCAGGTGTAGAGAGCCCAGCCCACCGCCGTGTGGCAGGGCATCAGCCTGTGTGGCTTTGCTTGCTGATGCCATGCTCTTGGGGGGTCACGCCAGGGGGAGGGTGCAGACCTGCGAGGCTGAGGGAGGGACGAGGCTTGAATTCACTTTGGTCTCCTGGCAGCTGCATGGCCCTTGGCCAGTTACTGCCGTAGGCAGCAGCAGCAGCTGCCAGCCCCCGGCTCCTGCGCCTGGCCTGCGGTGCGGGCTCGCTGCTCGTCCCAAGGGGCCGTCACTTGCGGAAGGCTTGCTTTGAGCAGCAGAGAGGAGCTAGAGTCAGGCTCACGGACTTGGTCTGTCCCTTCTCCCCAGACAGTTTCCTCTCACTTCTCCGAGCCTCAGTTTCCTCTTCTGTACGAGGGGATGATAATGCCTCCTTCTTGGGTTTAGGATGAAAATTGAAAAGGACACATATAAGTCCCCCTTGCCCCAAGGACTCCACCCCACAGTTACCAGGAGGCAGCTTTTAGGAGTAACAGCTGACATGGCAGTTACGGTCCCTGGGGAGGGAAGGGATTTTGCAGCTCCTCCAGCTCCAGCCTCCCTCAGCACCGATGCTGGAAATGAGGCAGCTGTGGGGTGGATAATCTGGCTGATTTCAGGGCGAGGCCAGGATGAAGATGTCCCACCAGGCCTTGAGGGTAATACTTGGAAAATGTATGGAGCTCAGCTTCAGTTCCGGCCCCGGGACTCTGGCTCCTACAGCGCCTAGTGAGCTCCTCCGGCTGGTGAAGGCCCAGGCAGCACTGGCGGGCTCTGTGCGTTCTGCCGGTGCTCACCCTCGCTGGCCTTCCTCGCAGCCCAGTGACCGGGGAGCTGATGTCTCCTGGGCCACCCTCTGCCCAGCCCTGCTCCCAGGAGACTTCTCTGGGCTGGGTCCTGTTTCGAAGATGGGGAGAGACTGCAGAGGAGATGCGTGAGGGAGGGAGGGTGCTTGGCTCTTGATGGGTGGACGAGGAGGTTGAGCAGAGGGAGGCCGAGAGGGCCCTTTCTGACCTCTTTTTCGGCCCCTCCCCACCCAGTGGTCTGCTGGGTGCTTGTCCAGCCACAGTCCCCTAAAGTCTAGGGGTGGCAGGTGCCGTACGAAACCCGAGAGCTGCCACACATCACCACACGTAATAAATTCACCAAGGTGGAAAGAAATCTCTGAATACTGATGGCCGTGCAGCTGCAAGAAGTAAAGTTTCCAGAATTGCAATGAGCAGCCTTGCGCTAGAGTTTTATGTCATTTGCTTTCAATTCCATTTACAGTTATTTCTTGTTTTTATATCATGTTTTATTGAAATCCATCTTTTACTTTCAGGCTTTAGGCTCAGTCATGGATTTTCCCTGCCCCAAGTTTTAACTCCTGAGCACACAAAGGTTCACTCCTGAAAACACCACAGGAGAGGGCTTGGAAGCTTCAGGGTCCAGCCGCTTTCTGTGTGCCTTGGAGTTCAGTATTCTGCTAGGTGCAGGCCCTGCTGTCGCCAGGAAAGATGGGGTGTGGCTCAGAATCCCCGACGGGCCTGTGTAGCCCCAGGGGCTCAGCTCAGTAGTGTGCAGTGCGAGCGGCGGGCTCCGTCCTCGTGACCAGACAGACAGACTAGGTCGGAAGAGAGAAGCAAAGGGACAGCCGCCGCGGCTCTGAGGGTGGCCTGGAATGGACCCGAAACAGTCAGTCCTGCCCATTGCTGGCCCTGCTCCCCTCCTGCCTGCACCACAGCCTCTCCCAGCTGCTGGCCGCCTGCAGCTCTTGCAGCGCAGGACAGTCAGGGCCAGAGTCATCCATCATCGCCCAGCTCGCACCCGCTGGGGCCGCCACGCCTGGCCTCCTCACGGGCCTGCGACCTGCTAACTTCCCAACCAGTGCCTTCGGGCACCACTGGACTGGCCAGCTGTCTCCCCTGTGGAAGCATTTTCCACTCTGACCTCTGGCTCCTGGCGCTTCCCTGGCCGGCTCAGGCTGCCCTTCCTCAGCTGCAGTTAGACCCCTCCTGGCTGCCTCCCGCTGCTATTGCCTGTGTCCTCAGGGTCTTATCCATGGATGAAGTTTGCATAGAAAGATTGTGAACAGACTCCAAGAAGCTTGTTGTTCTGTGCTATTTGCCTTCGAGCTGCCGGAACCAGGGTGTGTGTCGCC